ACAGTGGGCAGCATGAGCTTCTAAGGAAGGTTTGTCTCCTTATATTTAGAACTCACACAGCCTGGTTCTGGTGATAAGAAGTGTCCCCCTCTGTTACCATGGGAGAGAGGAATATTCACTCCAAGTGACAAAGAAAGACAATGACAAAGTGAAATCACTTCAGAGGGCAATAATTCTGACAGGTTGTTGTATATGCAGAAAGAATAAAATGTTTCTTTCAGGATTTAGTGATGATTTTCAAATTTAAACATATTGCAAAATAATTTAAGACCAGTAAACATTCCCTTTCTTGTTTGATAAAATGTTGTAAATGCCAGAGATGGTTTTGAACTATTAGCAAATATTTCTGAATTCTTTTTATTGCTGAGAGTTTTTAATGCTTCAGATGTCTGAATATGAACAGAATGCTTATGAGCTTGTTATAAACACCTGAAGAGAGAGGATTTACAGTGACAACACATAAGGAATCTTAACAAAGGTGCTAATATACTGCAGTGACAAACAGCATCCATTCCTAGCAGTGGTGCTGTAGTGATAGTATGCGTTCACGGGATCTGACTAGGGTAACTGCTAACTTGTCATCTGTCAAATCTGAGTCACAGTTAACATTATTCATAAGACATTGATTTTTCTCTTGTTGACAGAAGCATTTATCATGTTTCTCTCAGGCTGGGTCTGATTTAAGCATATACATTATAGTCTGATTATACTGGAAATCAAGATTCCTGGGATCTGGGATCTAGTCTTTAGTCTTCCAATATCTACCTATGAGACCTGTGGCAAGCCCAGTTTTCAGTTCCTTATCTATCTAAGGAGAAGATGAGAAAAGATAATTTCCTAGATCACTTTCAGGTCTACTATTTCTCTAAATCTGTGCTGGCTCAGTGTTCATGGGGCACTCCCTCTGACCTACATTGGGAAATCTTCCATTGACCCTTGTGCTTCCTCAAGTAACATGTAAGTCATGACAGAACTAGTCTATAAATGGGTGATAGTGTCATGGAAATCCTATAAAATTAATGTTTCAAACCTTTGGGAAAAACATGAACTATACTCCTGTTTATGAGAAAAATACAAGGAATTTTCTTATGGTCTTTGAACAAGTTTAATAAATGGAAAACACCCTGTGTAGTGACAAGGGGAAAGACTGAAGAGTCACTGAATTTAAAGATCAACTGAATCCTTCCTCATTTTGGGGGGATGAAAAAGGTAGTAGTTATGTATTATGACTTTCTTTGCTAAAATAGAGAAGAGTATAGTTTGTGTAACTGGTGTTTAGGGCTGGTACATGAGAATATGCAGATGGTATGCCACACAATTCCAGAGAATGCAGTTCCCCCAGCCTCTGACGTGAATGCCCTTTTGTTGTGCAGTGTAGAATCTGTTTAAGTGAATGTGGAGGCCCCGCCAGGTACTAGCTGGAAATGGCATTTCTATGTACTTGACCTCACCAAACTCTATTGGGGTGGGGTGGAAGCCGAGCTGGCTTCATAACCAGGTAACATGCAGTTGCAGAAGTTCCTGACTTAGAAGGTCCCCATACTTGGTTTGATGCTCTTTTGTCATCATCTTGAAATTCTTAATAAAGGTTTTAAACAAGGAACCCCATATTTTCATTTTGTACTTGGTACCAAAAATTATGTAGCTGGTACTGAATGGTTGTGGGAGTGGTTCAAGACTGTAATAGCAGGAATATAATTTAAGACTGTAAAGAGAGAGAAATAATTACTTTTCAACTTTTGACATCCAAGGTAGAATTTTACAGTACGGCAACTGGCTCAAAAGCCAGGCTTCTTGAGATAGTAAATTATTTTTCTACTTTAGTTTAGCATATCAAAGACCACATCTGCAGGATTCAGGTGACACGGTCTCTCCATAAATATAGAGGAAATGCCCTTTTCACATTTGAGCCATGTCCCAAATGTTAATTGTCAATGTTTACAACTATTTTATATTTTTAAAAGATTTTATTTATTTGACACAGAGAGAGAGAGACAGCTAGAGAAGGAACACAAGCAGGGGGAGTGGGAGAAGGAGAAGCAGACTTCCCGCTGAGCAGGGAGCCCGATGCGGAACTTGATCCAGGCCCCGGGGGTCATGACCCGAGCCGAAGACAGACACTTAACGGCTGAGCCACCAGGCGTCCCTATTTTATTTTTTAGTATAAGTGGAAAGTTCCCTGGACCAGAGAATACCTTGTGTTTGCCTTTGGCACAAATTTACATGGACTTTTACTCTTGCCATTTGGCCTGTTGAATCAATCCACAGAATCAAACCAAATAAAAAATTTTCCTATATGATTCTTCATATTCAAAAAATATAAGTTACTCTATTTTTTACATGCGTACAAAGAAACTAAAATCCATTCTCATGGTTGGTTTGAACATTTTCCTTGATTTTTTTTTTCTGAAATAACTTTAAACTGAGGAACACTTAAGTTGAACATATTGAGTTGCACAATAATATATTAACATGGCCAGTTCAAATAGTTATGGCCCAAAGTGACTTTTTAAGCTGGCATTTTTCACTTTTCTTTAATCATTCAACTCATAAGAAATGCAAATACTAAGACATTTAAAAATGGCCAACTAGTCATATTTCTAAAGAGGAGTTAGCTGTGATTGCAGTTTTTGAATCATTCTGAGTGGTAACTGAGTAGTCTGTTTCCCATATTTGGAGCAAAGGAGGGAGGGAGGGAGGGAAGGAGGACGTTAAGTATGTTATTGGCCCTAAACCTGTCAGTGACATTCTAGTTCTTGTGGGCTAGATCAGCGTTTCTCAACCTCTGCACTCAACTCTGCACTCTCAGCCTCTGACACTGACCGTTAGACTGGACAATTCTTTGTTGAGAGGGGGTGTCCTCTGCATTATAGGATGGTTAGCAGCATCCCTGGCTTCCACCCACTAGATGCCAGTGGTATACCTTCTCTTCAGTTGTGATAACCAAATATGACTCTGGGTATTGCCAAATCACCCTCAGTTAGGAACCAAAGGGCTAGATTTAACTAAGGCTATCCTGGGAAGACTGCATCTCCTTAACTATAGTCGAAAAGCAGGACAACTAGTTGGCTTGGTTTCTTTCTCATAATCTAGTAGCTTGATGTTACACCTAAAACGTTGAAGAGGTAACCCAAAGAAAAGTGAATATGTTCTCCTAAGACTGAGCACTGAGAAATAAGGTATAGAATTTTTGAATCACTATATTGTACACTTAAAACTAATATAACACTATATGTTAACTATACTGGAATCAAAATTAAAAAGCTTAATAAAAAAAAACAGCTGACATAGACTGGCTATCCCAGGGCTTTCTCAGAATACTTGTTTGTGTGTGTGTGTGTGCTTGTTGAAGGAAGGGTAAGAAATGACTCTGAGCTGTAGGTAGCTCCAGTCTACATATTCCTACCTCATAGAAACAAGTGACATAGTAAATGACCATGATCTTGAAGAGCATTGACCCAAAAATGCAGTGAGTTAATACCATATTAATGTAAGTTTTCAGGTTTGTTAGTGATTAAATAAAAAGATCCATTCCCTAGGGTTTTGGTTGTGGCTAAATTGCTATCCTTTCTTTGCAGAGTGCTTGATTCAGGATGTTTGGAAAGATCTGAGTACTCCCTAGACATTGGGGTTCCTGAGAACTTGAAGATATAGCCTAAAGAAAAGTGAATCTTTTTTTTTTCTTTCTAAGTCTTAGAACAGCCACAATCAATCCTAACCATGCTTAGTTACCTGAAAAATTTGAGTTATTTGCTCCACTTTAATTCATTCAAAGTCTTCAACAACTAGTTTGCCTTTTGATTATTAGCATTATTATTAATTTTTAGGGCCTGCCATTATTTACTATTGGTTCTCTGCTTCTCTGACATTGGGAAAATTTACTAACCAGGTCACATTAAAAAAAAAAAAACCCTCCTGGCCAATATAGAGAAGAAAAGAGGTGTAGTATAGATCCTTTTAAGTTTCAGCATAAGGAGTTCTATACAAATAACACCTTTCAGTGGTTCAATCCATGAGTCGGAAATGGTTGTGTACCACTTTATGGGGCAAGAGTACATATCTTAAATTGCCTAACTGTTTGCTGTGAAGTGTTTGACTAGCTGCTTCCATCCTATGGAAAAAAAAATACTGTCAAAATAAATAATGCAGGGTAATGCAACATAATTACTCAAATATTCCAGAATCAGACTAAGGCATGCTATGTAACAAGACTTGTTTCAAAGTATTTGATTTTTCTCATTTTATTTTCTTTGTAGGATAGATTTTTTAATTCGAGAGAGAGAGTGAGCAGTGCTGGGGGGGTGGGTCAGAGGGAGAGGGTGAAGCAGGCTCCCTGCTGAGGCCGACGCAGGGCTTGAGCTCAGGATCCCCGGATCATGAGAGAGTTGAAGGCAGACGCTTAACCAACTGAGCCACCCACACACCCCATAGGATAGATTATTTTTAAATAAGGTTTTACTATCTAGAGGCTTGGCTAAAATTTGTTTCAAAACCTAGAATAAGCTTGCTTGTATGTGGAAGTTACATGTTACATGTTACATGTAACACGTACATGTTACATGTTCATTTTACATGTAAGGAAAATGCAAATAGGTAAGTGGAGAGATTTGCCTACATTTGTAAAATGAGCTTGGAAGCTCTATTCCAGGCAGATGGTGCATTTAATGACCATTCTCCATGTTTAATATCATCACTTTGGCCCCCATTTCTGGAAGCAGCATGAGAGGACATGTTAGACTTTTACCCCTTTCCACTTGATGAAACACTGAAGTATCCCTCATATTTTACGCTTTGTATATGACCATACTGCCTACCATTAGGGTCATAGAGCTGAAACATCAGGAAGCTAAGAGACTAAAAGAACTAATTTGGCTGAAAGATAACAAAATTTTTGTTTTGATAAAAAATGAGAACTATCAGCATAAGTCCTTTTACTTAGTGTCTTCAGGCTGTGTTCAAACAAAGGAAGTAACGCTGCAAATTAGAAATCCACAGTTCCTAGCTTTGCGCAGTGGCGGTATCTTAGCCACGGAGGTTTATCTGAGGTGCGATTATTGCTAATAGAAATCCACAGTTCCTTTACCTGTTCTGGCTTTAATAGACTATGTAGTTCTAGTAAATTATTTATTCTGGAATTACCTTCATTCTTCAGTCTTGTTTCTTTTGGAAAAAGTCCTAAAACATCCCATTATCACCATCAGAATGCCCAGAAGTGATCATCTCTAGGGCTGGTGAGACTGTGGGAAAAGAGATTTTTATTCACTCTTGGTTAGACTATAAACAACCTTCTTAGAAAGTTATCTGACAGAACTAAATAAAATTTAAAATATATATGCCCATTGAACAGCAATTCCACTTCTGCTTATTTACTAGATATAGAAATACCAGTATTTAAAGACACACATATAAGAAATTGCTTTTGGCAACCAAGAACTGGAGACAGGCTCAATTATTGTTAATAACTGGATAATTGAACAAATTAGATAGTTCATATTCTGAATACTATGCATCTTTTGGAAGGAATAGATATAGATCTATACAAATTGACTTGGAAAGATATCCATGGTGCATTTATAAAGTGAAAAAACAGTTTACAAAATAAAATACAGTATCATCGCATTTGATATTAAATCCTTATACTTATGTATTTTTTTAATAAGAAATTTTAATGAATTTCAAATCTGGTCAATTTTAAGCAATCAGGTGTTGGTTATGAATATCAGGTTAATACACTTGATACAGTTCATGTGTTTTTCTGTATATCAGTTTCCATTCTAATTAAACAATCAGCAGTTTCCATATAACCACATTTTCAAAAAAGAGAATAACAGTGCTATATCCTGAAAAGCCATTTCCCGCTACCTTTGATGAGAGTAACCCATCGTGTACAAAGTCTTTATAGACAAACTCTGGTCTAATCTTCTTTTCCTTTATTTAAAAATTTATTTATTATTTTTATTTTTTTATTATTAACATATAATATATTATTTGTTTCAGGGATACAGGTCTGTGATTCGTCAGTTTTACACAATACACAGTGTTTTATATTTGTGATAAACAAGGAAAAATATGAACGAATACATCCTAAGTTAGCAGTAGATAAATCAGAGAAAAAATTATTACTTTTTTCAAAATATATTAATACTCTTTGTATATTGCAAGAAGCACATACTTTCTTTTAAGGAAGAATATTACTTTTAATGAACAATATTTTTTCCAACATTTTATTATGAAAAGTATCAAACATACAACAAAGCTGAAATAATTTGACATTATGCATCCATATACACACCTCTTGGAATCTATCCTGTTAACATTTACTTTACTTGCTTTATCATATATCTATTTATCTATTCTTCTATCCATTCCTCATTCCATTTTATTTTCTTGATGGATTTCAAAGTAAAGTGCACACATCAGTCCATTTTCTCCTAAATTCTTCACCCTGTAAAATAATGACATTTTGGGGGCGCCTGGGTGGCTCAGTCGTTAAGCGTCCGCCTTTAGCTCAGGTCATGATCCCGGGGTCCTGGGATTGAGCCCCACATCGGGCTCCCTGCTCTGCGGGGAGCCTGCTTCTCCCTCTCCCTCTGCCTGCCGTCCCCCTCACCCCCCTGCTGCTTGTGCTCTCTCTCTCTGTCTCTCTGTCAAATAAATGAATATTTTTAAAAAAATGACATTTTTATTTATATTTAAATACATTTAAAGGAAGTTGCCCTGGAGCTCTGGCTGTGGCCCCACTCTCTAGGCACCTTGGATTCTTCCTTCCTGCCTCTGACATAACAGATCTTTCTGGGGGTCTACAAAATAAACCGCAATTCGGTATTGATGTTTGAGAGTAGGATCTTAGAAATATTAGAAAAATGAATACTCTTTGGGGATCTAAGACTGTCATATCTCTTAGTAAATGTTCTTTGGAATTCAATGTAAATTATATGTGCATCATGAAAATGTAAGCCAGAGATTTCCAAGGAGATTTCAGGCTTTTGGAAACATAGAAAGTGTATTGCTCATGAAGTTAACCAGACAGAGAAAGACAAATACTGCATGGTATCACTTATTATATTTGGAATCTTAAACAAAAAATGTCAAACTCATAGAAACAGAGAGTAGAAACATGGTTTCCGGGGTCTGGTGGTGGGGAAATAGGGAGAGGTTGATAAAAGGGTACAAACTTTCAGCTATAAGATGAATAAGGTCTGAAGATCTCATGTAAACACATGTAACACTGTATTGGATAATTGAAATTTGCTGAGAGAGTAGAACTTAAATGTTCTCTCTCTCACACACACATTATACATATATGTGTGTGTGTGTGGGTGTATATATATATATATATACACACACACACACACACATATATATATATATAGTGATAGATGCGTTAATTAACTAGATGGGGGAATTTTCACAATGTATATGTATATCAGATCACCACAATATACACTTTAAACATCTTACAATTTTATATTCCAATTATACCTCAATAAAGCTAAAATTAAAAGAAAAGAGTGTTTTGCTTAGAGTTCACTTACCAAAAATAGAATCCATTCTCTCTGAGCAGACAAGGTGTTATTATGTGGTATCATGTGACTTATAAAACCACTGCACGGGCTAAAGAAAATCCCCATGCTGAGATTTCAGGAAGCATTTCCAAATCCATGTGACAGAATTGGGCCAGGCAAGGTGTTGCCTCTGCCATGATCAGAAACTTCATGATACAATCAGAAAGATGTCATCATGACTATTGGTTCCAGAATGATACCTTAGCCTTTGCTAGGAATCTGCCAAAGGAGGAAACTACCTGTGGAATCAGGAAATCAGTGCTAGAGTTGCTTGTTCCAGAACCAGGCTGCCTTTGCCATACTCTGTATGAGCAACATGGAAAGCTCTTTTCCTGAAATGAATCAGTGTGCAGACTAAGATGACACTCTGAAATCTCACTACAAGGGGCTGTACGAAATGTTTTATGAAAAATGCTGTTGTTGACTAAAATCATCAGTTTTCTTCTTTTTGAGTACATGGCTAGACTATGTTTTTCAGTCTCCTCTGTAGTGGTATGTAGCTGTGTGTCTGTGTCCTTGCCTAGAGAAGGTAAGTGGAAACAACATATACCTTAAGGCAATGGTCATAGCTTGTCCACATTTTTTCTCTTCATTGTTGGCTGAAACCTGACCCAGCTTCAACCTGACCCAGCAAATGACAATGCCAAAGGATATAGAGGTACATCCTGGGTTCCTGGATGACTTTGTGGAACAAAGTCCATTTGACCACTTTGGATGATTACATGAGTGAGAAAAACTTGAATCTTCTTTAAGTCACTGGAATGTTGTTTGGTTTTTTCGATTATAATAGTTCAGTCTTACCCTATATAATGCATGTGGATTTTAGCTCATTAGCTTCTGTCTGTACCTGGAATTGTTGATTGGGTTTGATGTTGAGCCAGCCAATTCACAGCGCCCTCCAAAACAGGACTCCTCCCCCTCCCTTCAAAACACATCCTTACTCTCCTCTTCTCACTCTCCTACCTCTCATTGCATACAACCAAACGCACACGCACGTACACACACACACACACACACAGTCTGTCTTGTTCATTGTTGAATCATTAGTGCCTAACACAGAACCTGGTATATCCTAGGTGTTCAACAAATATTTGGTTGATGAATAAATAAAAACATCCTCACAATTAGAGAAATCGTATGGGGCTAGTTTAAAATATTGTCTTTGACATATTTCAGTGGGAAGTGTGGTTTGAAGCTTGGAAGGATTTCAACATATAGAGATGGGGTAGAGGGCATTCTGGGTGACAGAGAAGAATGCCTGAGGTATGGCAGCATGGTAGGGGTGAAGGGAGCAGTGAGTTTGCCATTGTGTTTGGTGGGAAGGCTGAAGAAAAGGGGTTTGGAACTGAGGTTAGATTCTGGCTAAGTAAATTCTTGAATGCTATGCTGGGGTAGTAATAATTTTGTAAGCCAAGAAAACATCAAAGGCTTATTTTGTCTCTGTCTTTGATTTTTACTTTAGCATTGTACTGATATGCTTGGCTCTGTCTTTTAGAAAACAAAGTGCTGGCAGTGTGGAAGAGAAGATTGGAGATGAGGGAGACAGAGGTGATTTTAATTGCCCAGGAAGGAACCATGGATGTTTAAATTGGGCAGAGGGGAAGGATAGATTTAAGGGATATTTTGGAGATAAAATTAAAAGGAATGGATGACTTCTTAGATGATGAAGAGAGCAAATATCTCATTTCTAGATTAAGATGACAATACTATTTTGACTTAACACAGGAAATAAGAAAACAAGGAAATAAAATGGGGGATGAATTAGAATTTATCTTTCATACTGTTACATTACATTTTAAGTCATGGAAGTATTAAGTAGCCAGATGGAAAGATCCATTTAGAAGTCAAGAGGCAGATTAAGATACCCGTGATTTGGACTTGGAAGCCATGAGCAGGAGAGGTTAGTATTTCTCAAGATGTGATCTGAGAACTTGTGTATCAGAGATACTGGTCTTGGGGTGTTTGTAAAAATGAAGATTCCTGGGCCTTATCACAGAATACTTGATTAGTTTCTCTGGAGGATGGGGTCCAGGAATCTGTTTTCTAAAAATATTCTTGGGTTATTTTAATTCTTTAAAACTTTTGAGAGCCATGGGTAAAGGTGACAATTAAAGCCTAATGGTGTGTATATAGAATTATCTGGGAGAAAGTGAAGAGTGAGAAAGGAATATGGAGCAAGACATGGATGAGAATGATACTGGACTGAGAAACTGCAGAGTTAAAAAATCTGTTCAAAAAGGAGAAAAGAGAAGAGATTCCTGAGAACGTGGAGAAGTAGCAGTGGGAAAAGAAATGTTTTAGGGAGGTAAGGTTGGGGGAGGCTCAAGGGAGAGCAACATCTGTAAAGAGCCCACCTAGAATGAGACAGAGAGAGGGATACTGGTCCCGTCGAAGTGTTGGTCATCACTGACCCTTGAAGCAGCAGTTTGAGTAAACTGATGTGAGTGGAATAATATGACACCAGTAAAGCATTGAAGAAACTGAGAATCGAGACCTAGACTATGTTGATATTGTTTATAACTCAATGTAATTTCTATTTCAAATTCTCATGGAAGAGAAAATGTCAGATTA